CAGTATATCATTATTCTGCGGTCCTCACTTCTCTCAGAGGTGACTTGGTTGAGTGCACGTTCAGGACTCACTGGCTAATTTTCCAACTTATCTTATGTTTTCTAAGGTATCCTAGAAAGGATTCAGAACTCAGCCCACTGATCTGACTAAAAAGGAAAAATCACTGATATACTTCATTGTCCAGGTATTTTGTCTTTATATTTTACACCTTGCATGTAGCACCTTTTGATTCCTACATGATAGGCCTGAAAGTCAAATTCTACTCTTCTCTCCTGGAAAACACTGTATTTTCTCAGTGAATGCACCTATGCCTTCACATTAAAGTCTTTTTTGATGCTGCTGTTGCACTATGTGGCCAGAATTGTGTGTGTAGCAATAAGGGAGTGGAGCATCTCCCTTATGAGGAGCGGCTGAGGGAGCTGGGTCTCTTTAGTTTGCAGAAGAGGAGACTGAGGGGAGACCTCATTCATGTTTATAAATATTTAAAGGATGAGTGTCACGAGGATGGAGCCAGGCTCTTCTCGGTGACAAACAATGATAGGACAAGAGGTAATGGGCACAAGCTGGAACACAGGAGGTTCCACTTAAATTTGAGAAGAAACTTCTTCTCTGTGAGGGTGACAGAGCACTGGAACAGGCTGCCCAGAGAGGTTGTGGAGTCTCCTTCTCTGGAGACATTCAAAACCCGCCTGGACGCCTTCCTGTGCAACCTCATCTAGGTGTTCCTGCTCCGGCAGGGGGATTGGACTAGATGATCTTTTGAGGTCCCTTCCAATCCCTAACATTCTGTGATTCTGTGATTCTGTGAGATACTTCATTGCATGTATCAGCTTATGAATTAATGTAAAAATACTCTATAGTACTCTTTATTTCTAAATATTCTGTCTACTGAAGTTATAATCTCCCAAACATTTGCATGAGACAAACCATGTCTAAAATAAGTATGTTGTTATTATTTGTATCGTTAACAATGGTGATTTAAAAGCCTTACTGTACATCTTAGGCTAATTTTTATATCACCAGTGTATCACCTGTGTGTCTTTCACCGAGTATGAAGACAGATTCACAGATTACAATTAGGGAAAAAGAAAAAATGTTGGTTTTTTCAATACCCGAGAACCTCACGGGGTTCTGTAAATAAGTGAATAATGATGAGAGCACGCCAGTTAACAACCAGCATTGTCTACTGGTTATCAACGGTGCCAACTCATGTTACATGATGAGCTTGATCCAGTTAGCTAAGATTTAGCATAGTCAGACTCAGAAAAATCTGCTATGTTAAAGGTAAACCCTATTTTTACCCATTGGTACAGTCAGTTGCTCAGATTTGGCATGGTAGGAGCCAGTACAATCCAGAAATCAATACGAGCACACTGTCTTTTTGGTACAGCAGAGCAGTGGCACTACTTATGAACTTGAGCTGGTGGATCCAAATGAGGTTGTAGTCCCCATTACAGCCAAACTTTACTGTGCTCTGCTGCACAGTATGGACATGCTCAGAGATTTGTAGAAGGTTTGTTGATCTGGCCCTGGAAGTACAGTCTTTACATTTCTGAGGTGGGTCATTTTAAATAAGCAGCTGTAACTTCCATGTTTATTTTACAAAGCAAAGTGTTGCTTCAATTTCTTCTCTTATCTTAAAAGTTGGAAGAGAATCATACTGGAAGAAAGCCATTTATTCTCACTGCAGCTGCATGTGTAGGCATAGCAAATTACCTGAAATTCTGATTGCCAAAAAGTTGCCACCGAGCAGCTTCTGTAAGCTGTTGAAACCAGGCTTCTGGTATTTCTGCATTGGTTTTTAATTTCAATTCCTTGTCCCTGTAAATCAAAATGAAGAGCTAACAGACTATAAAATATATTTTGCATTGTTTATTACATAATACCACTATACTGAGATATGCTAGTCAAATAGGTTGGTCTTTATTTTCAATGGAATGGATGAAAAGCATCCTTAATTTCTTCAGGGAAACACCTCAAACACTTGACATAAGATGACACTGACAGGTTCTGAAGAGATCAGCCTCCAATCTCACAGCAAGATAAAAGGATGCCAGCAGTTACTGCTCAGGAGGCTGCCAATTAATAACCAGATAACAGGTATATCTTCTGACTGGTGTTCGACATTTACATTACCTCCAAGGTAGGGAGAAAAGGAGTCTTTCAGCTAAAAAACTGTTTTCAATCCATTAAAAAATAAAGTTTTATTTTCAGCTAACTGAATACGCTGATGAAGCCCAACTTATTTTCACTTATTGCTACTGTTTCTATTAAACAGACATAGCTCACTGTGACTTACACTATAAAACATTTGCATCTTACTGAGAAGTCTTCATTAATCACTTCCTCTATTCACACTGAAACAGCTATGATAATCAATTCTTATTTGCACAGCTGTGATATGAATAATTTTAAAATTTTGCTGTAATTGTTCTTCTGTTCTGCTGAAAAATGGTTTCAGAGAACTAAGGGGTTTTCTCACATATATATGGAATGTACGTACAAGAATGGCCAAGTCTTATTTGGAACACTTAGTTATGTAAAATTCTGCTGTAAAAATGAAGATTAAGCCTGCTCTCCATCTTCTAGGTTTGCACACTGCTTAAAAGATTAAAATCTGCTTTTTTCCAAATATAAAGAAATAGATTTTTGAGAAGTATGTATTGGCTGGAATGTTGCTAAGGTATTGAAGCAAAGGGAAGATGGATAAATATGCAAAAGCTTTTATAAGGTAGCTAACATTTCTTCCTGAGGAGCAATCAGAACTGCAACTTAAGCAATGAACCAGGTTGCCCAGAGAGCTTGTGCAGGTGCCCGACTTAGATTTTTCAAGACTCGACTGGATCCGAGAGCTGACGCTGCTCTGAGCAGGGGGTTGGACTACATACCACCTGAGGTCCCTTCCTAATTCATGTGGCCTATCTATGATCCTAAATTTTAGGCACCTAATAAAGCATTAATTCTAAATGGGAGAGAGATAGTTTGTGTCTTGGCAGGGAGATTCTTTTTGTCTAATGGAGATCTCTGATTTTAAGCAGAAATGAGCTCCTCTCAAGAGAAAATCTGGACCAAATATTTTCTGTAGCTCACAGCAGAATAATTATCTGACCTCTGAATCAGAGCCACCACTTTATCTTGCCACTGAATTCAAAGCTAGTTGTATTTCCATAACCAGTGCCAACAAATTTTATTTATCTTTTTGTATGGCAAAAAATAAATTGTCACAGCTCAAGATGAAACAAGTACAAGCTATTAAGAATTTACATTTAAACAACAGCAGCCTCTTCAATATCAATATAAACCAAAATGTAACACGCAACTTTATATAGAAAAGCAATTGATGGATTAGGGTAAGGTAGATGCATCCAGCATCACAAATACACAGTATCACATGGAGTTATGAAAAATGTGTAGTAAATGTATATACATGGGGAATGTGCTTAGCAAATTTCAGGTCTGGCTGAAGAAAAAGCAAAAAGTGACTTGTTAGTATCTCCTTTAACCATAGGAGGATTGTTGGGGTTGGGGTTTTTTGATAGATGGTCAATAGAAAACAGCTATTGCCTATTTTGTGCAGAACAAGTGTAGCATGAGTTCTACTAAGTCCATCAGAGGCATTTTGAACTTAGCTAGGGAGTGCTGGAAGGGTCATTTATCAGTTCAGTGCACGTGTTTTTACTTTCTATGGAAACAAGAGTTTGGCCACATACACGGGTTATGAGCACAGAAACACAAGGGGCCCAAACATCCTCATCTGTGCAGTAGTCTGGCCATGTCATCTGTTAGCAGCAGCAGCTCAACTATCAATATAAAAGACAAAAGCTGCTCAGACAGTATAGCACAATCTTTCTCCATATTAAAGATGCTGAATTTTGTTATTTCTAATGACCTTACACATGAGCCAATAAACACACTCCTGTGCTTTTAATTATTATCAGAGGTACATCAAGGCTGCACTTCTAGCCTTAGGAAAAGTTAACACAAATAAAATTATTTATGTTTAAGTTGGCATCACTGATGTGTCACAGTGGTATCTGAAAATTTTCTGAAGTCTTGTAACAGCACAGGTTTGTGGGAATATTCATCATCATCATCATCAAACAGAAGGGCTCCAAGGTGAATTTACATATGAAAGACCCTCAGGGATGTAGGAGTTTCTGTACCATAGTTTCAGAACAGGTGACAAACATTCCTTTTGTTTGTATATATGGTGCTATGTTGACTGGTCCAAAGCACTACCAAACCAAACTATTCACTCCATAGCCTGCTCCCTAGACTAAGGCCCTAACTGGCCCCTGCCATCCACACAGCAGCTTTAAATAGGAGGTGATTATCAGCAAAATAAAATAAGATGCATGCAGCAGTGAGATGTTCTAGGTTTCAGCTTCAAGTTCCACGTGTCACATTTTGGAAAAAGTGATGATACTCCCTATTTTTAATACAGCTGGAGAACTCTTCCTCCAATGCTCAATTAGCCAGAGCTGCTCCATATTCACATCCCACTTTCGTGTTCCAGAAGCACCTGCATCAGCTCTTTTAGCTTTGCTATACAGCTAGGGAGAAATTGAGACAGTGCAGCAGTTTTGTTGAGGAAATGGAATTATTAGTGAGATTCAAAAAAACCACCTAAAAAAGAAATTTGAAACTAGGTTGAAAATTTTAAGTTTGAAGACAGAGGCACAGTTCAAACAACTGTATCTTAGTTCTTCCAACAAAGCTGATTTTTATTGAGGAAAAAATGATATTGGTAGGAAAGAGAAATTGGTTTGGAAAACTCACTTTGAAGGGGAAAAAAGTACTTCCACCTTCCTGTGATGTTATATATAGATATATGCATTATATATGAAGCTGCTCATACTTACTAAGTTTCCAGCTACTATTTTTAGCTGCACAAGCATTTAGGACCAAACACGACCTAATGCAGTGAGAATCTGGTGGGTATCAGGGAAGGCAGCTGCTGTCCCGCCTCCAGAATGAGGTAGCCCCGTCTCTCCTCAGCTATGCAGCTGCCACCAACGGAGCGCGCCGATCAGACACAACGGCACAAGGGAAACCTACTGGGTAAGGGGGAAGGGTTAACAAAAGTAACGGGAATGCCTCAACGTTACCAGCGAAACAGCCCATCCCTCACCACGTACGACAGTTCCCCACCTGAGGGAAGCGGCCTTCCCGCCGCTCACTGCGCTTGCGTAGAAGCGCCAGTCAGGCGGCGGACCACCCTATTTTAGGCGACCCTGCTCCGCCCCCAAACGCCGCGTGTCACCCGCGCGAGCCTGGACAGCCCCGCTATTTCTTCGGAGTCAGCCGCTGATTGGTCTCTGAGCTGGCCAATAGTCCGATAGCGAGGGCACGGC